TACTCCAGGTGTTTCTTGACTTCCTGCTTTTGCATTCCAGTCCCCTATAATGAAAAGGATATCTTTTTTGGGTGTTAGTTCTAGATCTTGTAGGTCTTCATAGAACCGTTCAACTTCAGCTTCTTCAGCATTACTGGTTGGGGCATAGGCTTGGATTACCATGATATTGAATGGTTTGCCTTGGAAACGAACAGAGATCATTCTGTCATTTTTGAGATTGCAACCAAGTACTGCATTTTGGACTCTTTTGTTGACTATGATGGCTACTCCATTTCTTCTAAGGGATTCCTGCCCACAGTAGTAGATATAATGGTCATGTGAGTTAAATTCACCCATTCCAGTCCATTTTAGTTTGCTGATTCCTAGAATGTCAACATTCACTCTTGCCATCTCCTGTTTGACCACTTCCAGTTTGCTTTGATTCATGGACCTGACATTCCAGGTTGCTCTTTACAGCATCGGACCTTGCTTCTATCACCAGTTCCATCCACAACTGGGTATTCTTTTTGCTTTGGTTCCATCCCTTCATTCTTTCTGGAGTTATTTCTCTACTGATCTCCAGTAGCATATTGGGCACCTACTGACCTGGGGAGTTCTCTTTCAGTATCCTATCATTTTGCGTTCTCATACTGTTCATGGAACAGTTGTTATTATTAAATGCTTCCCGTTCTAGTAACCACTGTGGGCTTCTGTCTCCTAATTAGACTGTAATTGCCCATAAAGCATCTTAGGAATAAGTCTTATGCAAATAGTCTTACCTTGCAAACGCAAAAACAGCTGTTCCAAGAAGAATGATGGAAAGGATACACAAAGTGACTGAAAGTATAATCTCTACAGTTCGTTCTGAAAGTCCTTCACCTGAAAAGAAAGTGTAACATGATCATTAATTATTATTATATGGGATACTATGTTGGGTCTAAAATAAAGAAAGATATACTTCGGCCTATTTCTCAGTAACATTAACAAAATGTACACATGTGTTTATCTTGTAGATCTTTTAACTTTGGGGCTCAATCCTTGGTCCTCTTTTTCTATCTACACTCACACCCTTGGTACACTCATGCAAACTCATGGTTTTAATTTTCATCTATATGATGATATCTAGTTAACTGTAATCTAAGGAACTCCCAAATTGTATATCCAGTTGCCTACTATACATCTTTACATAGAAGTGTAATTAAATTTAAAAAATCAGAATGTCCCAAACTGAACCACCTATCCGTCTTTTGTTTCAGCTGCATCTTTCTTCTTCTTAGTTGATGCCAACTTCATTTGTTCTAGTTGTTCAGCCCCCAAATCGTGCCGTCATACTTGACTTTCTCATTCACAGAACACATCCAAAATCTCTGAGGAAATCCTGTTGACTCTAAGTATACACATTTTTCACTAAAAGAAACCAGGGAAAATTGGAGAGATAGTAATCCCAAATTGTGATTAGGACACAAAAGGAATTTGGGACATCTAATGGGGCAAGACAGCTAAGAAACTATCAAAGGCTAATGGTGTAGAAAGAACAAAAGGTCATCTTTAAGAGGTCCTACTGGCCAAAGATGGAACATTGTAAACTTTATGATGAATAAAAACTGAAACTGATAGAAATATATTCAATATCAGTATAAAAATCCATGAGTTCTAATATTATTCAATGAAACAGAAATGAAAATTAAAAAATACTACTTTGTAACCTCTGGTTTTAGCTAAATTACTTTTTTTTCACTCTCTAAAACTTTGAAATTAAAGGGAGAAAATTAAGCGTTTTCTCCCTGGCTTTCTATTTTTATGAATTTTAAAAAGCCCTAGTTAAGGAGAAAAAGCTCCTTTTTAGAGGAAAATTCTGTTTAATAAATGTGGAAGAAATAATAAAATTGGAAATTAATTTTGCATTCCTAATGAAATAACTGACTCAGGTAACAGTCACAAATGCATCTTTAAATGACTAGGAGGTTAATAGGGACTTGAACATTTAGGGAATGTCAGCCTATCACCTCACAGATTATTTGCTGGTTATAACATGGGAAAAAAACTTCTAGTGAAGAATCATGCTGTCAGTATCACTAAATTAACTGATCAACTTTAACATCACTGAAAATGTGACGAGACATTATATACCTCCTGATGTGAGGTATTTTGATCTACACAGCAACACTTGTAAAGTATTCCTGCCAAAATGTTCATTGTGCATATTCAGGCCTTTAGATCTTATCTCTAATTTATAAGAAAGTAGGAATAGTTCAAGAATAAAATGACATCAATAAAGAGCAATGAGACAAATTCAGAACATGGAACCCCTTACAGGACAGCTCATCTAGTTGCCTAAATGAGTCTTTGGCATAGGAGTGGGGAGGCGGGAGGAAGAAGTCTCTTCTAGATGAAAATAGATAGAGAAAGGGTGAAAACTGTTAGTCACTCAGTTGTATGTGATTCTTTGCAATCCCATGGACTATAGCCCGTCAGGCTCCTCTGGCCATGGGATTTTCCAGGGAAGAATACTGGAGTGGGTTGCCATTTCCTTCTCTGGGGTATCTTCCCAACCCAGGGATCAAACCCACATCTCCTGCATTGCAGGTAGATTCTTTACCATCTGAGCCATCAGGGAATCCCGGATTAAAAGACACAACAATAAAAAAAAAATGTGAACCTCTCATTTGATCCTGTTTCAAAAAATTATAAAGAAAAAAAATCAGAGGATGTTTTGAAAATATGTGGTTTTACATAATATCAAGGATTTAACATTAATTTTAACTGCAACAATATAATAAAAACAGACTTATTAGAGAAATAAGCCAAAGTATTTGGAGTGGAAGATAATGCTTTCTGTAATTTAAAAATACTTCAGAAATAAAATGACCAAGGCACAAATAGAGCAGATGTGGCAAACTTCATAGGCACTTGGGGCTCATTATGCTATTCGAAACTTTTGTGTATTCTCTATTCGCCTTTTACTAGCTCTTCTGCAAGTAACCTGATCAAGGCCACCATCCTGTTTTGCATGAATTATTGTATGGACACCTAACAAGTCTTCCTGTATCTATCCTTGTCTTCTATGTATTCTCAGCATAGTAAGCAAGAATAATGCTTTTAACATATTACCTCTCTACTTAAAACCCTCCTCATCTCTCACAGACAAAATCCAAAGTCCTTCCAATGGCCTACACCATAGGTTAATGGTCTCTGGTCCTTCATTAACACTCTGGTTCCCTGTCATCTCTTCGACTTCCCTTCCATTCACCACCTGGCTTACTGCTTTGGAGCCAGGCTGTCCTTATTGTTCTTGGGATACACCAGATCACTTTTGTAACAGGGCTTTGTCCAGCTTCTTCCTGGGCCTGGAAAGGGATTTCTCTTGTAGATCTTCCTGGGGAGCCATGTCATTACCTTCAAGAATTTTCTCAAATATCACCTAGTGAATGGCACCTCTTACAGACTGATTATATGTGTCCCTCCAAAATTCATATGCTGAAACCCTAACACAAATACAATGTGACATTACTTGAGTAAGGATGTCCTTAATGTTATTTGAGGTCTTAAGGGCTGAGCAGAATTAGTGTCGTTTTAAGAAGAGAACGCCAGAAACTATTCTCTTCCTCTGTGTGCACATACTGAGGAGAGGCCACAGGAGGACACAGCGAAGAGGAGGAGACCGCTCACCACATACTGAGCTGGCTGGAACTCTGGGTTGGCCCTCCTACCTCCAGAACTGTGAGAAAGCAACCTTGTTGTTTAAGCTATGTCTATGGTATTCAGGATGAGATGGCTGGACGGCATCACCGACTCGATGGGCATGAGTTTGAGTAATCTCCGGGAGTTGGTGATGGACAGGGAGGCCTGGCGTGCTGTGATTCATGGGGTCGCAAAGGGTTGGACACGACCGAGCGACTGAACTGAACTGAACTGAACTGATGGTATTTGTAATGGCAGCCTGGGCAGACTCGGAGATTACCCGATTTAAGATGGAAAGTTACGACTCCTCTACTTCCTGTCTCCCCCTCCCACCCCCTCTGCACTCCCTTCTACTTTGCTTTCCCCCTCCATAACCCTCTTAACCTATCTTAAAATTCATTTATTTATCATACTACCCATCCAGAAGTAGGATTCCTGAAGACAGGAGTCTTTATTTTATTCACAACTGTGTATGAAGTCTGAGAATAATATCAGACACATAGCAAATATTAAATACTTTAAAAATTTACTGGTTAAAAATTCAGTTTTGAAGTAGAAATTAAAAGTCTTCAGGTTGAAGATTAGGCATTAAACCAAATAACTATAAAGTGTTTGTTTTTTATACAGTTAGTAATTATCATCAATTTTAAGTTATATAATTTTACTGTAAAAAGTATTAAAGTCAGGTGACAACATAGGTTAACTATTTGTAAAATACACAGGGATTAATGTTTCACCTTTATTCCCCTGGCTTGGTGCTTATAAATGTTAACAATCAGAGTTTCATGGTCACCTAGAATCTTCACCTAAATTTAGAAGACACTAAATGAGCATATAATAGCTCATATAGTATTTTAGATACACCTTTTTTACACATTAAAATATAAATGGCTTGTTTCATAAATTTTTACATGCTTATTCCTAACTGGATATGCTTGAGAAAGGAAACATGAAGATGAATAAAGAATCATCTTTATCAGGTAGTATTGAGTCACTAGACCTTGGAATCTAGTGGGGAAAAAAAAATGACTTCATAGACCATAGAAATTTTCAGATTAGATTACCATTTCAAAGCACCAGCCAAGTGAAGTGAAGAAATGACATATAATGTATTAATAAACAGTAGGTAATCCTTTGGGCACATGCATTACAAATGTACTACTAGGGAAGGACAAAATGTACTGTGATTTTCCAGTACAAATTTTGATTCACTGCTATGTATGTACCCACAGAGCATTACCAGTACAGAATGAAGTTATTCTCTAAGTCCTTTCACAGAAAATGGAACTCTTCTGCTTGAAAGTATGAGCATTCTTTTTTTAATATGTACAAGTCATTTCCTAATGAGACTTAAAATCCTATGAAAGGTCAAATCATTTTATTTCATAACAGAATGTTCCACTGTAATTAAGCAAATCATAATTATAAAGCACTAATTTTTCATAAGTATTATCTTTTGATTAAAGTTATCATTATTTAAACTCAGCCTATGGATCTAACTTTTTAAGCTACTTTTATATCTCTAAGAAGAAGCTTGAATTAAATGAGTTATAAAGCTCCTAGGACAATGTCTGTCTCTTGATACAGATACATATTACATAACAGAATGTGACTTTGAGCCTTATAACTCATTTATTATGACAGAACTTAAGTAAAAAAGTTCTCTTTTAGCCCTGTACTAGCCATCCAAAATATTTAAATACTGCACAAAGAGCTTACTAAAAGTCATTCTATGTCATAATTCAAGAAATATCTATTAAAATACCCTAACTAAATGTTACTTTCATATATCAGCTATGCAAAATATTAGACGTAGATACTAAACAATTGTTTCCAAGATGTAGAGAAAAGTCACACTTATTGTTTACAAAAAACAAAAGGAATTACTGCATTTTTATGTGTAAAAATAAAGCATACTTATGTATTAATGCTAGCCTTCAAAAACTGAGAAGGTGAAAAGAGAAAAGCTAGAAATAGTTTAAAATATTGAGAAGAGAAAATGGTACAGCAAGGATAGGAAGTGTGCAGGAGCAGAAAAATTAGCAATAGTGATGAAATTGAAAGCTACTTGGGTACTTAGTAATTGCTAGGCAACACAACATTGCCTGAAGTCAGGTTGCCTGGGTCTAAAAGCTGGTAGTGTACTTCCCCAGCTCTGTAACCTTGGGCAAGCTGCTTAAAGACCCAGTTTCAGATTT